AATAAAAAATGTTGCATTAACTGACGTAAGGTTTAGTAAAGCTCAAAAAAAAAATTTTTTTTTTAATTTTTCATTTTCACAACTTTCACCCTTTTTTTCTGTAGGTTTTGTTTAGTTTCTTGCTGGCTTTTTTCTACCCCATCTTTTTATTTACCCTCCCCAGTTTTTTCCAAAAATCAATTTGACCTGGTCAAAAACTATCTGTCGCACTTTAGGACAACTTTTGTTTTACTTGCTTCCAAAGGCATATATAAAACTTTTTCCAGGGCGTGCGATTTTTTAAAATTTTCTGAAAACTAAATTTAAAAGCCGTTTTAAGGAAACTATGGGAAATGTTGACCAAAACATAATGTTTGCTCGGCGCGCGTTCCCCTTCAATATTAGTAAATTTGGCACCAAAAGCGCGTTTAGAAAACTTCATTGGTGGTTGGCCGAAAAATGATGTCATAAAACAATTTGAAAAATCAGGAACCCTTTGGCTGCTGAAGGGATCTATTACCTTGAGAGGGATTGAATTTTTTCCAAACGTGCACTGATAATCAAGTATTTGTAGTTAAACATTTTTTATTAAAAATCTTTTAAAATCAGAATTGATAATTTTCGATGTAATATCGGTGCGGTTGTTACATTTAGACATTTTCTGCTCAATGTTTTAGCGTCCATATTGACTACGTTGAAGTCGGAAAAGTCGGTTTTGAAACCTACTACGAGCCTAATTGAAACTTGTTTGATTGATGTCAAATTTGGCTTTATCGCCATTGCTTATAAATTCAGAGATTATAATTTTTTCTACGACTAGATTTTGAGCTCAATTTTATCGAATAGCCAGTTTTTTATCAGCTTGGCCCTGACCATGTCCCTTAACTTATTTGCCTATCATCTGCACACTTCATAAAGACAAGCGTATGTTTTTATTTGTTCCGATGAGTTTATGTTCACGTAAGAGCAGTGCTGAAGACAGTTACCTTGTTTTTTTTTCATATAAGACCCAGAAAAAGGACTTAAGGCAAAATTGAGTTAATCGGTTGAATTCAAAATTCAACAACTTTTCGAAAGAAGTTATTAAAAAAACTTGGTTGCGCCAAAGCTTAAAAAACTAAGAAAGTTTTGCCAATGGCACATTAAAAATTTAGGTTTAACCGATCTTGATGAAATTTTTGACTATCGACTATTAGCAAACTCATTGCTCTCAACATATAATTCTGTTATTACTCTGATAAAATTATATAAATATCAACTTAAAACCGCCTATTTTTTTTTTATAAAAAGTTAAAATTTGACTGTTTAGATGAAATTGAAGTCTAGTCTCTCTTGGGACAGTGTTCATGCGATAATGATGTAATTTTGCTGGAATGCGCGTCATTACAAGGCCCAACTGAACATTGGATGATCGTTGGTTTGGGAAATTTCGAATCCAAATACAAGTCTTTAACCATGTTACAAATTTGTCGGAAAGATCAAAGAAAACAAAGGAACAAAAGAAGATCAAAGGGGGCGTCCTTCCCGGGTTGACCAAAAATGCTAGTCATAGAATTTCCATATATGGAAAAATACTAATCATACACTTTCCATGCAATTCCATACGTACAGAAAATTGCATGAAAGGTCTATGATTAGCATTTTTTCATATATGGAAATTGTATGACTAGCATTTTTTCATATATGGAAAGTGTATGACTAGCATTTTTTCATATATGGAAATTGAAAATTTAGAAATTTTTCATATATGAAAATTTTATGACTAGCATTTTTTTGAAATCAGAAATCCAGCAAAATGAGGCAAAAATTACTACTTTAATTCCCATCCCATACGACGAGCAGTCTCTGAACAGAGAAGAAAAAACCAGAGAAAATTTGTTTTCTCATAGTCAATTCTCCTCACACACTGAGAAAGCAGAGGATTTCTTAATCTTATCTTAGGGGGACTCCAAACCAGGAGGGACTGCCTCAGAAAAATTAAAAAAAAAACTGTTAGCTAGTTGAGCAATCCAAAACCAGAAACAATCCACCAGAGGCATCAATATTCTGAAATTCTTCTCTTCCAATCACATCTGACATCAACATCTAAAACAGTTCCCTATAAAACACCATTTATTTGACACTCAGGTTGGAAAATTGAAACAAAAATTTAAACATCAGCAAACATTCGAACATCATAAAAATCCTAAATTATTCCCACATGAGAATTTTTAACTTTTGAGATCACTTTTGAAATCATGTATGAGAAGATGCAGTCAGAAGTTGACCAAGCTATGGCACACAGAAACACCAAATTGTACCGATTTACAAGGTAAAAACTGTGCAAAAACGTGTTTCTAGGTGCCATCGATTGGCTTACTTTCGACTAGGTCTCCTCAGATACGAATCCTCTGATGACCTTCAAAACTACTTTTGACCAATGCAAAGCGAGTTAGTAAAAAAACACAAAGGCAAAGCAGAGCTCCGCAAAATATATTTCGCGCGTTAATTGTCCGAAATTTGCCAAAATGGCAATCTTTAAACCCCCATAACTTAACAAAAAATGATCAAAGGTAAAATATCTTTAGGCAAAGGCAAGCAGTTCACATCAAGTTCATAAAATTGATGTGCTGATTTACCTATCTACGATCTGGAAATTTTGGATTCTTTTGTCAGGTTTGGTTTTTATTTCTAAAAAACGCTAGTCATGCAATTTTCATATATGGAAATTGTATGACTAGTGTTTTTTTTTTTCAAAAAACGAAAATAAAAAAAGTCAAAGTTTCAGTTGTAGCAGCCCAAAAAACGCCTAAATGTTTTGCCAGCAGTCGAAATGATTGTTCAAAGCGTTTTTTTCAAATTTTTTTTTTTTTAAAAATGCTAATCATACAACTTCCATATATGGAAATTGTATGAATAGCGTTTTTTTCATAGCATTTTTTTTCCTTTTTTTAATGAAGAGATACCATTTTTGATACCAAAACAACAATAAAATACCTTTGAAAATCAATTAAACTCATTTTGCAAAAATGTATGAAAATTCTATGACTAGCATTTTTCCATAGACTAAGTGTATAAAATTGTATGATTAGCATTTTCGGTCTATGGAGGTCAACCCGGTTTGTTGCTAAATCCGCTCTTAATTCATGAAATACACAGTTTGGTCTCGTTATGGCGCTCTCTCTTCAGTATATAATGGCGCCGAAAACGCTTTCAGATGAAATTTAGGGTCACCCAGCCAAAACTGGGTATATGAAAGTAGTTCACCTCTTTGGTTCGACGTAAAAATGTACACCTGGTGAAAACAGCGTAAAACCAAAACTCTACTGAGGAATACATGCCCTACAAACGTTTTGTTAAACTAGTGAGGTTCAAAAAGTAACAGCTTGGTCATTTAAGTTTATTTGTGAAAATTGACAGCTGTTATTCGGTTGCTTAGTTGGCGAATTATTAGTGATAATTGTACCGACTTTCGATACGAAAGTAACGGAATATTTGTGCTCGGGGTGGGTTTTTTTTTCTTCAGACAAATTTCGACTTTTTAACTAGCCATTTTTGACGGAATTTTTTTATATCATTCGAAATCTACTGTTGTCCTGAGCCTAAATTTGAAAAGATATTTCCGCTGCGATCATTTTTCGTAAAGTTATGAGGGTTGAAAGATTGCCATTTTGACCAATTTGGGACAATTAACGCGCGATATATTTCGCGCTATTAACGCGCAAGCGGAGAGTTAATCCGTCTTAAAATCGTTCCAAATTGGTTGAAAGAAGCTTAATTGCCATAATTGATTCGTTACAAGGAGCGAAATTTATCATTTTGTACTTTATATGGCGTGTGGGGGGATGATTTTCATTGAAAAAATTTCAAATTTTAGAAAAAAAAGTTTCATTTTATTTAAATTCATTTAATTTTTTTAAGTTATTACTGCTCCATAAACCTTAAAAGGCAGTCGGAACATTCAGGGCTTTGCCCTGATACGAGCAGTCTTGTTTCGTATTTGACATTGAGCGGAAGAAAATTTCAACAAAATGACTTTTCACTTTTCATCAAGTTCTTTTGGTTTTTTCCCTGAGAGTGGCGAGAAACTGTCTTTGAGTGTTTAATTTTTTTTGAATTTTTTTGACTTCTTTACGAGCAAATGTCAAGTACCACAAACAATCATGGGAAGGGTTCGAGCGTTATATAATAATAAAGTTTTTTCATGTAATTCCATTATGGGTAGTTCATAAATTTATAACCGACCGCAACAATTGTACTGCTTAGGAGATCACCATTGGACCTACAGGTCCGTTGTCAGGGTTCTCAGTCTCCTCAGACTCACATATATTATTTATAAAAAGTCTCAGTGCTAAGAAAAGAACGGTTTGGATATTTTGGTTTTTAGTCTAATTAGGAGCGAATAAAGCAATCGAGCAGGTTTATAGGAAAATAAGCTTTTACAAAGACAAAATTTTTAGCGCCATCTTGGGAAATTTTTTTTGCGCAAAAGTAACGTAGATCAATTTTTAAAAAATTTTAAACAAATTTTTTTTTGAAGAAACTCGTCTAATTTACTTTGAATATCTGTCTAATTTACTATGAATATCAAATTAATTTTCAAATGTTCATGCTTCTCATTCAGATATCTCATCACACAAGGGACAAAAACTGGGATCTACTTAACAATCTGTCCCCCCCCCCTATGGTATATACTAAAGCATCTCCACACCTATAATTAAATACAGTAAATTAGCACTTCAATTTTTTGTAGAGAAATATTTTTTTTGCATTCTGATTGGTCAAAAAATCAACCAATTTAATCTAATTACTCTCTCTTCCTTTCTCGGAAGGGGGGAAATTGTTAAGTAGATCCAAAAACCGTATTCTTTAGGTTTTTTAAAATTTTATTCTAAGTTTTGCAGGGTGAAAAAAGTACAGAATAATTTAATTTTAGGTTGTTTTTTCTTATTCAATCAAGTTTCGACTTTTAACTAAGCATTTTTGACAGTTTTTTATTTAATCTGGAATTATTTTTTTCCCGTATTTTTTTGTTCCTTTCATCAATTTTCAACCAAACCTTATTAATTTTCCTTAAAGTGGAGTCGGAACTATCAGGGCATTGCCCTGATGTACCAGGAGTCTTGTTTCAGTTTTAGTTAAATTTAAGTCTATCGGTTGTCAAACTCGATCGCTTATATATGAAATTCTTGAACTAGTCAAACGAAAACGTTTATTTTCTAAGTTCGTACAAATGCGAATGCCACAAGACCTGCAGGAATCTAATAGTAGGAATATTATAACGAACCTTGCAAGAATCTATGAGGAATCTTAAAAGATCCTACATTCGATTTCAATTGAACTAGAGTGAGCAGAGATTAAAAATTCATTTGCTAGCCTAAAAAAGGTAGAGAAAAAATTAGACACAACAGTTTCTATTATTGCTCCCTGCAGTGGTTGAAAAAATTCACCGACCCATAATTTTAATTGAAGTCTAAACCAAAGGCAAATTAGGATTTTCTCGAGGGGGAGGCGGTTTTTCAAAAAAAAAACCAAAGTTTGGTCGCTACCTTGTTTTAGGGCCAAACTGGTTTTCCGGTGAGCTCTCCCAGAGCATTAAAAAAAGCACTCTGGCCAATTTTTTTCTGCGCCACGGAATTTTTGAAAAACAAGCCAAAAAGGCGATTTTAAGCACTCTTTGGACAGTTTTGACCAAAAACTTGGGTTTTTTGGCGCTCGCTCTCACCTCAAAAAATAAGTATGCTTTGGCGTCAATGGCACCTTCAGAAAAATTGGTCGAAAATGGAGGTCTTAAAAAGTTTACAGTTAACTCAAAAGGGGCGTTTACAGTAGTTTCATGGTTTACAGGATATTTCACGGTTTGTTAATTTTAAAATAATGGTTAGCTCCAAAAAATACAGCCAATATTCATACTGCAGTCTTGTTCGGTATTTTCAGGAAGTTTCAGGATTTGTCAATTTTACAATAATTGTAAGTTCTGTAAAATGTTGTTTATTTTGCTGTATTTTTAGGAAGTTTTAGTGTTTGTCAATATTACAAAACTTGTTGGCTTCAAAAATGCAGTAAATAGTTAAACTGCAGTCCACATAAGTAAAATTATGACAGCCTTCTGTCCATCTCATATCAAGTTTATCATAACTGGTACGTTTAAAAGCAAACTGGGGTCAATTGATACTCGCTTATGATTCGAAGACGTTGGAGTGACATCTCGATAAGAGACTATGCATGTGGCTAGAAGGATACAACATTTCCACATTTCGAATGCTGATTAGATCGAGGACAGCAGGAACTGGATTTATTTTGTTGAAAGGACATTTCCAATGTTCTGTTCCAGGCACCAGACATCTGTTGCCTCGTTTTACAAATCCATTCGTAGTGATTAACTTATTTTGAAATGCCTGTTCTTGTTCTGATGTTCGCGGAAGGGGCAGAAGACCTCAAAACAAAGAAAAAGTTTTAGGCTAAAATGAACAGACAAGAACGGAAACATTGGTTTAAGTTTCGAAGAGCGAAGAGCTTTTCGGAGTCTAGAGCAGCGACGGATTCATGGGTGGCAGCGGGGGCGGACGCCTTTTTTCTAGAGACTCGACCCCCTCACCAACCAAAGGGTCCCTCCTTGGGTATATTATTTTATGACATCCATATTCTGCCGATGAACCCTAAAATTTTTTAAAGGCGCCTTTGGCACGAATAGATACAAATTTTGATGTGGAGCGCGCGCCAAACAAAACGCATTTTTGGCTCAAAAATTTCAAAGTCGCCCAAAAAGGGTAATTTCGACCTGTTGTTTTTTCTAAAATTTGACTTCGAATCAAAGTTTTTTGTCAAAATAGGGTTTTTATAGTGTTCTGGGGGGTGCTCGGAAAATCAATTTGATCAACCTAGAAAATAAAGTCGACGAAATTTTTTTGAAAATCCACCCCCACCCCCTCCCTCGAGAAAATCCTTGATTATCCCCTGGTCTAGAGGCTAAATTTTTCGAGAAACGTCGGAAGAAGTATGTATCAGTTTTTGAACGAAATTATTTTTTCGCTCATTTTAAAAAAAATTTAAGCGAAGTTTGAGCGGAACCCTAAAAGTGTTTTTGGAACTTCGAAACGTTTGAGGAAGTTTACAGCTAAACAGCCCAATAAATTCAATCGTTCAAAGTCTCAAAAAACTGTGTGAAAAGATATTTGCTTTATTGCACAGAACAACGAAAACTCAATTTTGATTGAAAATACTTGAATCCGCGTTCAGTCGTACGCATATTGGAGACAAAAATAGAATCTTGAGACTAACTTCATGCAATTAAGAAACGTTCGTTGTTTTTGTGGTTGATGATGTGTTGCTGTTAAGATTTTTTGGTATTGCTGTTAAGGGTTCCCGGGTTGACCCCCATACACCGAAAATGCTTATCATACAATTCCATACATCAAGTGTGTGGAAAAATGCTTGTCATACAATTTTCATACAATTTCTAAAAATGGTTGAAAACTGGTATAAACTTATTTCTGTGGCTGTTTGATTCTAATAAAACAGTCTGGTGATAAAAAAACTGAAGTTTTCGTTTTTTGAAAAAAATGCTTATCATACAATTCCCATATATGGAAATTGTATGACTGGCATTTTTTTGATGGCGACACAAAAAATTTTTCAAGTAATTTTGAAAATTTGGCCCAAAATTTTTTTGTTTTTTTAAACCGCAAATCGAATTTCGTACGCAAACAAACATTTTTCGCAAATTTTTTTTTGCATGCAATATTTAATATTTTGTGTGCATAACGTAGTCCTGGATACGATAAAATTGGCTTTTATTTTCTTTTCACTTAAATTTTTTTCAAAAACGCTAAAAATTCCTATTTCTTTTGTATGGAGTGTTAATGTATGTTTGGTAATGTATGACTAGATCAATGTTTGATAAATTGAAAATTCAAAAATTTAAAATAATCATCATTAAAAAGTTTTGCCAAAAAATAAAAGTTTGTTACTTTTGTTATGTGAATTGTGAAAGACAGCCAAATTCAGGTCGTTTTCTATGCATTGTAAATGCAAGACCGTCCGACCTTCTGTGTTTTGAGTAAACAAGGTCTTTGTCACTTGTGTTCGGTTGCAAACACAACCGAAAATTTTTCAGAAACTAAATTAAGAAAGAAAAATCAAAATTTTTGGTTTATGGGAAAACACCTATCATACAATTTTCATATATGGAAAAATGCTTATCATAGAGTTTTCATACAATATTCTGTACGTATGGAATTGTATGAAATTGTATGACAAGAAGTTTCTCATTTATGGAAAATGTATGATAAGAAGTTTTGGTCAACCTGGGTTTTTTTGTTGTTGTCGTTAAGGTTTTGTTGTTTTTGTTTTTGATGTTGTTGTTGCTGTTGTTGTTATTATTGTTGTTGTTGTTGTTGTTGTTGTTGTTGTTGTTGTTGTTGTTGTTGTTGTATTTGTTTGTCGTTGTTTCCAAGATTTTTTATTGTTTTTGTTGTTGCTGTTGTCAAATTTTTTTTATTGTTGTTGTTGTGGTGGTGAATTGTTCTGTTTTTTCGAGAACAGGCGATCAAAAGTATTCAAAAACAGAAGAAAGAACGCTTCCTAAGAGTAATCATAAAAATTTCGAATTATCGTAGCTTGAAAAACTTCAAAGAAGTATTCCCAAGTTGATTCGATTGGCACGCACCCAAAGCTTTATATTGGGACTCTTTAAATATACGTGTCGTATTGCAAAGTTAGCAGGAAAGATTCTTATTTTTATTTTTGGTGCGATTTCGATGAAAGGAGACTCAAAACCTTTGTGAACAACCACATGGACTCGACGAAAGAAGTTTCTGAGGCAACAACGGTCATTCTTTTCCTCCGAAAAGGCGGCTGATTACAAATCCGTACCCGAAACTTGAACTTATTTATCAGTTTGAGTTAGAAAAAAAACATTACGAGGCCAAACTGTGCACTGGATAGGCGCACAATTTTGTGCCTGTATGTTCCTGGATTCCAGAGACAAGTCTTTAAATATGTTAAAAATTTGTCGGAACGATCAAAGGAAATTAAGGAACAAAAGAAGAACAAAGGGAGCGCCCTTGTTGCGGAATCCGCTTACAATGCTCAAAATGCACAGTTTGGCCTCGTAATGAAAAGCAACTGCAGATTTCGACAATTTTGAGATCAGTTGTCAATTGTTGTTCTTTGTCACTATTTTGGTTCGAACATGATTTGCAATTTTTAGCGCTGTTCTTGCGAATTTTCGTTGCTGTTTAAGTGCTGTTTCAGAGCTGTTACAGTGCTGATTCATCTCTGTAAAATTGCTGTTTTTGTTGCTGAATAATTCTCTGATTAGAGACAAATTAACGCTGGCGAAGTACTGAAACAGTACTCTATTTTTTTTTCACTGGAACAGTACTGCAACATTACTAATCTTCACTGCAAGATCAATCCGGGTAGGCAGTAAAGTTTTTCTCAACTAAACCAATCAGAGCACTTCTTGAGCGAAACACCATGCTCAAATTTTTGAAGCTTTGCCTTAACTTTAGAAAAAATGGCATTCAACGAAACTGGAGAAAAAATCATTTGCATAAATACTCAGTAATAAGGGAAGCAACATTTAAATGATCCCTTATTTGAATGATGAAAGATGAGGATGAAAGATGAATATTTTTGCATTTTTGCCTCAAAATTCAACAAAGGCCTCAAAACTGCTCGCAAACTTCAGCCAGTTTAACAATCATGAGTCTGCAAGGAAAATATATTTTAAAAAATTAGGACTCACCTAAATAGCTGCAAATCCATTTTTCCTGTAGCGCATTTTCCAAATATAGATTTCCCGCGAACAAGTTCAACTCTGCAAACTGCACCAAATCGACAAAAGTCAGACTATTTCCTTTGGGAACGGAAAACCCACGCATGTTTTGAAGGGCCGGGATCAAACTGGAGGGTTTTTGGTGGAACGGTTGGAACATGAAAAGTACAGCGTGAGTCATCTTTTTAAGCGTGTCATATTGGTCATTGACCTCAAATGGGGTCAGAAGGATTAGGGTTCCGGTGAAGCTGCACTTCACAGCCCAGAAAGCGTCTCTCTTGAATTCGTCCATCGGTTTCGACAAACTAGAGCTGAAACAACAACGTATTTCAAAGCAGGTCTTTATATTGAGTATTTCAATATTGGGTCAAGTTCTTCACGATCGAATGTAAAAATAAAGACTTCGAGCCTTTATTATGCGCCAACGTACAGTAATAAGAACCTGTGTTCAAGTGAAATCATCAGTTCTAATCCGCTGTTCCAGATACTCAGCTTGCTTTTTTTATGATTACGCAAAAAAAAGCTGACGACGACACAATTTGCATAGAATTTTGTGAAAACAACGTGAGGCTATCTTTGCAACCATGGAAACAGGTTGCTTTCAAACTCGATTCGTATTCTCGATATTTTTTCTCTCAATTGAATTTGCCAATTTGACAACTTTGGAACACATCACGCGCAATATAATTTGTTCTATATAAGCGCAGCACTACGGCTCAGAGATGGTTTCATGCTTTCTGCGTTCCCAAAAACTGGAGGATTTGCTCATGTGTCATTTGCGGCGACTGCAGTCACTCTTTGCTTCCACCGCGATAAAGCGACATTGCTGGAGATTGTTTAAAAATGAATTGAATTGAGGCAAGCGATTCGAACTCAAAAATTTGCTGCTAGGCGGTAATCAAACCACGGTCTACTATGCATGTCGTCTGGGGGAAAGGTTTTAAAAAAAGCGGACCAAAAGTAATGTTTTTGAATTGATATCAGTTTTTAATTTTTCAAACATATAACTTTTGTTTAACAAAAACTATTAAATAAAAATGAAAATCAGTCCGAGCATTCGAGATTTTTCCTTGATAGGAGCAGCCTTGTTTCAATTGCCTGATAATTCAAAAAATGTCTTTAAGATGTACTCACAGAGGAAATGCGACGTACACTTCCTATTGTAATAGTTTCGAAAGGGCCTAGGAAATTAGACGATAAGCAAATTAGACGGATTTTATTTTTTTACAGATCTGGCATTTTAGACGGAAGGGAACGGGCCAACAAAAATTTTTCTTAAGAGTTAAGTTTCACAAATACAAAAAGAACATAAAATGTCAATACCTATCAAAAACAATTAGTTTAAATGAACATAAAATGTCGAATCTGAATATTACAGGAGAGTTTTGAATTGAATAAATTATGCATGATTGACTTGTAAAGTTTTTGGCCACCAAAATTGAACTGTTGTCTACAAACAATTTTGTTTTTCTAACGCAATTTGTGTGCAAACAAAGTTAATTTCTCTCACTTTCGTCTATTTTCTCACAATTGCAGTTTTGCAAAACCGTCTAATTTCCTTTTAAGTGCCTCCGTCTAATTTGCTTGTCGTCTAATTTCTCAACCCCCGTATCGAAAGTAAACAGGACTGATCGTATGAGAGCGAAGCCCTGATTGTTCTGACTAAAGTCAATCAAATGTTTTTTTATATAAACAAAACACACTTAAAAAGAATAAATTTTGACTTTTTTTATTTATATTTTTGAACTATAATCCCCAATTCAAATCTTAAGTGTAAATGAAACAACTTGCGTTAGTGTACTTAAACTTTGACAAGAGCAAGTTCTTTGCCTCAGTTCATTTTGGAAAATTATATTCTACTTGTTTAATCTTTATAAGACTGCTCGTAAGTCTGGGCAACTCCTTGAATAAAACAATTGCACTTTAAGGCTGATAAAAATTTTAGTTGAAGTTTGAATTACCTCGCTTCAATTTGGTATGATTTCTTCCTACGCTTTATAAAATGCAATATATTGCTAATTGTTTACTCTAGAATGGCCAAATTAGCTTTGTTCAAACCCCACTAGTTTTAAAAACAATCACGTGTGAAATTTGTAAAATTGAGCTCCAAACATCACGATCTTTCGAATGGTTTAAAATTTCCACCAAAATGCTTTGTTAAAAAATGACTGCATAAAAAACCACCCTGAGCATAATTATTCGGTATTTTGTTCAAAAATTTGAACAAAAAAGACACAATTCCTTGCGTTTTAACTATTCTAACTGAAAAGACAGAAACCAAAGCAGTCCCAATAACAAATCATTATAATTTTTCACAAAATATTACAAGTAACAAATATTTTTGTTTCTGATATCAATAAACGAAATTGATCAGATTGAATAAAAAATGTGCAATGCCGGTTGAAAAATCAAACCTGGAGAAAAAAAAACAAGCCTAAAAAATGGTCTTTTTCTTCTAATATCGGAACAATTACTACAATTAGCATACAGTAGTTCATATATTGTCTTTTTAGTTCCTGCAAAATAGGAAAAGTAACTACGTTCTAAAGTAATCGCCATAATCAACCAATTTAACACTTGTTGAATATTATCCAAAAGTTCGTTCATAACTTAGTTTTTGTAAGTTTTGAACATTTCTTTTTTGCAGCTTCTCTACAAAGCTTTATAAAATAGGACTGATTTGCCCTTTGAGCTTCAGATCATTGCAAGAAATAAAAGGCTTGAACTCAATTTTTTCAAGACTTTCAAACTTTTTGAACAAAAGGAAGTATCAAGTTTTTTAGGTTTAGGACCTAGGAAAAAGTATTAATGAGCTAGAATGGGCCCGTCAAAACTGTCAGGCTTTCATTATCGTTTATGGATCAAATTTTCAGTTTTTGTTTTATTCTGTTACTTGTATGTGATCGACATATTGGGGTCTTCTACAACTTGATTTGGATGAAATATCATTAATAGTTTTTTAAGTGTGGTTAGAGCTTAAATTGTGCAAAGTGTATATTGCAAGCAACACCTGTGTCTGGAAACTCCAATGAAAATTCCGTTTGTGTCTTTCGGGATAATGTGGAATATTGTAAATGCTTAATATAAAAATAAAGTTAAGAGTTACAAATTATAACTGTTTGTATAGAAAAAAAAAGTAGTTTTTTATAACGTTTTTATAAACGAAAAACGAATATTGTAAAAAGTTGTGTTTTCGGTGGTTGAATTTACATGGTGAATGTGAGTCAACCTTAGGGGTCTACTTAAACTTAACTTTATATTTTAAGCACTGGCACGATATAATGATCCAGTTCAGAAACCGTTTTTAAAATAACTTTCCGAAGCGTACTAATTATGCGAAGTTGGAGGTTACTTGTTTTTTTTTTCTCGTTTGTTTTTGGCAAAGCGACAATAGTTCTAAGCTCAATTTTTAAAATTAAACCGAGTAGTTGAAAATGGTCAATTTGGCTATCTTGGGACAATTATCTTGCGACAACTTTCGCCCTATTATTGCGTTAACGGCAATTTGTTCCCTCTGAAAAAATCCCAAAATTAATTGCGACGAGCTATTCTGAAATATTACAGAGTGTTTAGACGCTAAAAACATCATTTTTTTTGGTTTAAAAAAAATTGGGAACAAAATTCAAATTGTTTCTGAGATAATATCAATTTTCAAGTTTAATAAAAATTAATTTAAAAAAGGACAAAATTTAAGAAGCAAAAGATGAAGTTTCAACATTTCTTCGTTTTTTTATCAGCTAAAAATTTCATCAATTTTTAGGAAAAAAATTATTTGCTTACTGAAACTGTCAGTCTAAATGCTCATAGGTTTGCGCTGATACAAACGGGTTTTTTTTAAACGTTTTTTTTTTAAATTGCTGATTTTGTTCAGATGCATGAACATGTTTTTTTGAAGTTTCGGGTACCCAGAAAAAATTTTTGACGCAAACTTGAAAAGACAATTTTTAAACTTGCTTTTCGAAAAAAAATATACTCGGAAAAATATTGTGCATCAATTGAGAAAAGCCTAACGGATTCTCTCTCGAGAGAGTAACAAATACAACAAAATTGCAAATTTCAAACAACTAACTTCTGACATTTCATGTATATTAACAGGTATCAAGTCATTTTGTTTTAAATAGTTAAAAGCCTGCATAATTCTAACTGCAAGCGATCTCTGTTTAGCGGTAGTAGAAAATTTTGCCACTTTAATTACTTTAATTTTTCATACCTAAAGGGGTAATAGCAGCATTAAAATCAGGAGTTTAAAAAAAAAACATTTTACAAACAGAGCAACTTTAATGTTCGATTAGCCCAAAATGTTTCATCAACAGTAATTTTTACAAAAACTAATTAAAAAAAAACATCATTTTAGAACAAAATCAGATGTTTTCTTCGTGTATGACCGAAAACCTTTATAGAAAAAGCTTCAGAGCAGCCTAAATAGAGCTAAAACTGCGTTATTGGAGCACAAATATGTAAACTGATGTGAATTTTGCTAAGAACTTAAATTTATTGCGATTGTTCTTTCGAGATTTTCGAAGAAAAAGAGGTTATGAGGGTTTCATTTTGGAACTACTTTGACTGCCATAAATCAAATTAGGATAATGTTGGTGCAATAATATCGTCCTATTAAACAGTAACCTGTATGAAATTAAATCATTCCAAAATTAATTAAGACAACAAGTGTGCCTCGTATTCGTATGTTACCAGACGCAAAATATTTCCATTTGCATATAACATAGCGTGTAAAGGAACTTTTTAAACAAAAAATTCATCTAAAAACCATTATTTGATCATAAAGGACAGCCGGAGCATTCACGGCTCGGCCTTGATACGGATAACCGGGTTGACCAAAAATGTATGAAAATATAAGGAAAATGTAGGATAAACTTTTTTTCCATATATACATAAAATCAATTTTTTTTCGACGCCAGACTGTTTTAATTGGTCCAATTAGCCGCAAAAATTATTTCAAACTTTTTCCGATCATTTTTTGAAATTGCATGAAAATTGTATGATTAACACAGATTCGATGTATCGAATTGTTTGACAAGCATTTTCAGTGTATGTACTTGTAAGATAAGCATTTTCTATTTATGGAGGTCAGCGTAGTTTTATTGTTTAGGTTTTCAAAACCAACAATGAGTTCAAACGACTTTAAAAGGCAATTGGAACTCTTAAGCCTTCCTCATGAAACGAGAAGTCTTATTTTTGACGTTCGCTTCACTTGGCCTCATCAATGTATAGATAGCATGCAACTTTTTGTCGAATCGATCATTTGCACATGTCTATGAACTATCTATGAACTATAAAAAAAATATCTGATCCAACTTTTGCAACTCAATCAAGAATCGATTTATGACGGATTGGAAATTCTTTCTGGTAGCGCAATTGTTCAACCCCAATTGTTCAACTAATTGCTCAAAGGTTAGCTTAACCTTTAACCTACATACAAGCCAATCATAGAAATGAATGTTCTGCAGTATTATGAGGATTAATTTTTTAATATGACAAAAGACTTTTAAAAATCAAAAGACTGACTAACTTGTCATCCGTTGTTACATTTGGGAACTCAGGGCTAGCGTAGACATTTTTGAACATTCGACCTAGAATCTGTGGCCGAATTTTTGTGTGTTTCAGACAATCCTGGAGGTACACAAAATCATTTGGCTCAAAATGGGCACCTTCTATAAATTTTTTCACACTTGAGGGAACTTCGGGTTTCTTCGGCGACATTCTCTCTGAAAAGTTTTAAAATTAATAAACATATTATCCGGTTCAGGTGCGGATCTAGGATTGTCTCGAGGGGAGGGGGCGGATCACGTTTTTTGGCGCGCGCTGCCCCTCAAAATTAGTATATATTGGCGCCAAAGGCGCCCTTAGAAAAGTTTTAGGGTCCATCACCAAATTTGGATATCTCAAAATAGTACAAAGGGGGGGCCCTTTGGGTCGACAGGTGGTCAAATTCCTGAAGGGGGGCATCTGCTGGTGATCCGGTTGAAGAGCAACTTGCTCAAAATCTTCCGGCCTCAGTCATTTCTGATAAAAAAGTTTGCAGAATTCTTTGTGATTATTCTAGTGGAAACTGATTATAAACTTAAAGAATCTTATATCATACTTTAATAGCCTATAAGAAGAAGCGTGACTTGCGACTTGCACATTTGATCTGAACTTAAGCCAAATAAATTTGTTACGAAAATTAGCCGTACAAAGCAGGTCTTGAGGTGCAGAGTATCATTTTTCACAGACAATTAAAGTTCACATTTTCTGTATTTATAAGCTATCAATATTCAAACTATCATTTTGGAAAAGTTTCAATCCTGCAAAAAAAATTTTGAAAGAAAAAATAAAATTTTTGTAAAAAAAAACAACATGAAAAATCGAAACAGAGACAATTTATCGGGTTGTTCAATTTGAAAAACTCTCCAAAATTTTTTGGTGCTGTTGAAAAAACGTCTAAAATGATCAATCGGTTGTATCAAAAAAAGTCAATCAGCTTCTAAAACACGCAAGAGTACTTCCATTGGGTTGTTTTAAAAAAAAAGGTCAAACTGGTCAGTTCAGTTGGAAAATTTACCTTGATTTAAAAAAACGTCAGGTTATTCAAACTTACCCGATGCGCCTAGCAAAATTCCATGCATCTGGTTGTTTTTTGGTAAAACCTAACCTTCCCCTGGTCGTTTTTCGAATTTGCAAAAATTTTTGATTGTATCTTCAAGAATTTTTAAAAGTACTGTTTCAACCCAGGTTATTCTTTCTGTTTAACAGTTTCGACTGTGAATGCACAGCTCGATAAAAAATTTAAATTTTGATTTTTTTAGAACAATTCTGCGTTTTATTTTAAGTCGCAGTTACATTTCAAAAAAAAATTTTTAAACGTTGAATAAAAGAATATCACGACAACAATTGTTGAATTTTAAGAATCTTCTGTAGGAAATTATCCTACAATAAATTCAACCCAAAATGAGAAAAAAAAGATCACAAGAGAATTTCCATTTTCAAAAAAAGGCAATGATGTTTAATTTGCAATATTTGGATTCATTATAGAAAAGCGTTATTTACCTTTCATTTAGAAAAAATATTGTATTGATTTTAAATTACAAAATCAAAATCAAACCACAAAAAAAAACAAATTTGGAGCATCATCAAATTCAAATTCTCCATTACAAAATAGTCAGAAAAAAAGAAAGCCTAAATAAATGATTTCTTTGCGTTCGTTGACTCTTGAAAACGCTTGCAGGCAAAATGTTTTATTATTTCGACTTTCGAAAGGTGACGGAATATTTGTGCTCGGGTGTTTTTTTTTCTGCAGACAAATTTCGTTTTTTTATTAGCAATTTTTGAAAGAGTTTTTGAATATCATTTGTGACAATTAACGCGCGATATATTTCGCGCTATCAACGCGTAAGCGGAGATTTACTCCGTAATAGAAATTGTTCAAAATTAGATTGATGAATGCTCTTTGCGGCTCTTTTTCCTTTTTCCCCCACCTGCAAAATTTTACAAATAAAAATTTTGTTCACATTATTCGATGGCTATGAAAATTGGCATACGGACTAAAAAGGCCATGCCAAACATTTTTGGTCCTCATAATTAACCTTGTAAAACCACTCGTTACACGATAAAATTGATGCTCGTGTGAGGTGGGGGAAAAGGAAAAAGAGCCCTCTTTGCATATGCGAAATACATTTTTTTGTACTTAACATTGCGTGAGGGGGATAGCTTTTGAAGTGTTTTTTTTTTGAAAATTTCATCAATCATTTTAATTTAAGTTACTCCATAGAAACTAAAACGCAGTCGGAACATTCACGGCTTTGCTCTGATACGAGCAGTCTTGTTTAGTTTGAATTTGAAATATTGGTATTATTCAGTAACTATTGATTCGATCCTATAAACGTTTCTGGAGATAAAACTTCGGATCGCACGAATTTAGCCAATTTTTTTGAAAATTGGATCAATAATTGTGGTACATTGGAAAAAAATAAACTATCAAAAATTTTGCACCAGCTATTCTATCACAATTCAACTTTTAATGCTATGCAAGATGAATTACAATCCGCGCTAAAAGTATTGCCTGAAATTGTGAACCGTATTAAATTGCATTAACCGTTCCAACCACTTCCTGAAGGAACAGTTAAGTAGCCATTCTCCTATATTTTTACGACCGATTTTGACTGCCTTAAAGAAAACTAGTAGGTAACTCACTTCAGTATTATATCAGAATCTTTTTACCGTGATTCTTACCGTGATTCGGATTCAAAAAGTTATCTCAGTATCGAGAAAAACTTCTGAATTTTTCAGTTTACCAGAAAAAATGACAAAATTTAGGAATGCCACTGAGCTCTCAATTCATTTTTTATGCGACTCTTACAACAATTTTGGTCATATATTTAATCTGAGAAAAAACAGCAGAAATTGTGGTGCGAAATTAAACAAGTTTATATAATTTTGGTTCATAAAAAATAAGATTTTTAAAAATTTTACTTCACAACGGTTAATTTGCAGGGCACGGTTACTTTGAAAATTTTACTTCACAAAAACAGCGCTACTTTGCAGGGCAACTGTTTTTGACTTGGTGCTTTGTCATCCATTTATAAAAGCCTTAGACATTCAATTACCTTATCAATTCTCTTCAGAAAAACCAAGATTCATCCTATACGTTTGTCCTATACTTTTTGCTTCGACCAGGTGAAACAAATAAGCGAATTATTTAGATGAAACCAACAAGCGTTCGATGGAGCGGAATGATAATTATCATTAAAGTAATTTCAGTTGTCATTCGAATAATGTTGAAAAAAAACGAGAAATGCTCGCGGTTCAATTATGCCTAATTTGAACATTTCTGTTAATAAAATTCCTGGCAGTTTGGGGTAATCTAGCTTTATAGTCCTTCCCCTGCCCCTCAATTAAAGTTTTGACGAAAAAAATCTATCGAAAATAATGCAAATTGCTGTTCATTTTTCGAATTGCAAATTAACGTATTTGGATCTTTTGTGCTATTAACAAAATCTGTTGTTTTGGAAAACTCACATAGAAAGTTCGGCCACTGTTCGTTATTTCAGTAGAGTAAGTTAACTGGTCCTGGTCGCAAGTCATCTTGCTTCTTATGTTCTTTCCGCTGATAATTATCTATACTGACCTGGTCTAACGACTTGCCTCTGTTCCTGCTCTTCGTGCTCCAACTCTCGCTCTTGCTCCTCGTCGAACAGATCCACAAACACTTCTCTCTCCGAAGCCAATTCCTTGCATTTATCTACCAGATTGACTCTGAACTGCTTGCAGTAATCGCTTACATCCCCTTCCTCGTTACGATCCGAAACCATTTTCCACAGAGTTGTCTTTCCTCGGTAAATTCCGTACTGTTTTTTTAATTCTGTAACTTCGTTTTGGACTACATTCTCCGCAAAGCTCTTCAGTGATTGGGTGCTGACTGCACACTTATTGTGTCGGTCGTATGCGCACAATTTCTGCAGCTGGTCCGACCCCTGATTAGCCCAGTGAATTAACCCGTCTTGGACTTGTTTTTGACTATTTTTGAGTGCCCATGAAATCACTTTGACGACCTCTGATGTATCACTTGAGAAGTCTCGACTCTGAGACTGGATCTCGAGGTCCACTTCATAAGATGCGAAGAAAGAAAGGCTATGACCACAGCCCAGCAACCGCATTCGCATACATGCCTGGGATAACTTGTCCTTTGCTAGACCTTTCCCGAGAGTAACTGCCGCTTTTGTCCCATTTGGGAATTGCAAGTCAGTTCCTCGAGTGTGAACGTCGTCCAGGTATACAATGCAGGAGTCGAGTTTTTCCAAGAAGGGCGAGAGGTGAAACGGGGTACTGAAGCTGTTTCTATCAAGAACCATCATGTTGTCCTCTTCGTCGAAATAAATTGCCGCTTCAATTTCAACTTCAGACACTTTTGACATCCAAAGTTCGACAAAAGCTTTATTGTGCAGCAAAATTAGAGCTCCGGGATCCAAAATTACTTTTATTTTGTAATCGCTTTGCTCCAGAATGGAATCCAAAATGTCCTTCCCGCTTGCTCCATGGCTAAGAGCGTGGTAGAGTTGGTTCTCTCGTTTCAGCATATTGTGTATTACGAGAGCGTCCGTTCCTTGAAGGGAGGGTAAGTCCCGCTGATGAACTGTGAGGGGCAACAGCAGTTGGGCTTCATTGGTGCCACTAAAACCAGTCACTAGATTGCCGTTTTCGCGGCATAAATCCCAACCAGTCGCCGACAATTTTTGAGGGAACTGTTTAGCCTCGTGCAGGTAGACCATGTTAACAAGCCAGTAGTCAACTACTAAAACATGTTTGTGAAACAGCTTATACAAATCACGGAGCTGAATCTGGTCTGATAAATTGATGCAGCTACAATTTCTCAGTTCTCGTGGAATGTAATCGGGGTGACAAAAATTGACCCACTTGTCATATATAGCTATTGCCACACTCATTTCCATTGAAGTGAGTTTCCGAAGAACCTCTTCAAATCCATCTCTCGGGATGCCTTGGTAGTAATAGGTCAGCTGTGTCAACGCCAACGCTACATCCGGGTGGCCAAAATCGGTTTTATCCGCCGCTACATCTTTCGCCCGGAAAGGAACAGCCATTTTGCGGTACTTTCCAACTCCGTAGTTCACTCGGTGTCTCAACGTCAGACAGTGCTGCAGAATTTTCAAGCCAAAGAATCCTCGAAGCAGAAATACAACAAGTGGAATTTCAGAATCGCCAAGGGTCACTTGCAAGTTTTCAGTCTGATTAAATTCTAGTTCCTCTGCCATTATGTATTTCCTGACGCATATTTTTTGATCTTCAGTCAGCGGTTTTAAATCGGCTTCCGTTTTGCATTCAAGAAAATCATCGATAAGCATGTCGCTGATTTTCCAAAAGGACTTCGAATCTTTGTCGAGAAGACGGAAAACGTTGAATTGATGCTGAGTATTCCTTTCATCTAATTCAATCATAACATGCTCTGAACCGCACTTCTCAAAGATTAAGTTTGCGTGTTTTTTCAACCTCCTAAAAATACTTTGAACAACTATCCAGCGTTGGTTATTTCCATCCAGTACAATTTGGGATCCCATCGTGTAAACCAACTGTCTTTTAACGGACAAAATGTCATCGCTTTCGTCCAGAATGTTTCGAACAATGTTTTCGTGAGTTTTTGAGAAAAAGTGGTAGCTATTTGCCTGATCGCTGCTGCCGTTGATGAAAATTTCCAGTGCCTTCAGTTGCATGGACATCATTTGCTCAGGAGTACTGACCAGGAATCCTCGTTGTTTTTTGTGTTCGCTAAGGTAACTTGAAAGATTATTCATTTGCTCGCAACTCAGCTCAAGATCTCTGCAGAACGGCAATTTAAGAAGTCGCATATCCAGCACACCCCCCATTTTGGCGCGCAAAGACTGAGAGTTTGTGGGGTGGAGCGAGCCCAAAACAACGACCTGTGGGCAACATCCTTTTTTGAGATAAATCGAAGCTACCAATATAGGCACTATCACGCTCGATTTTCCCTCACCCATGTTTAACTGCATTACTGCATTCTTGTTGTGTGGAGGATCTAACATCTGTTGAGCAATTTCAACCTGTGCTGGTCGTATCATGAAGTTTCCCTCTGCTTCGAGGATCAGCCATTCTGCGAACTCTTGAGGAACCCAGTTGGTATGTCCCACATTATTCCACTCTCGTTGTAGGTGTACTCTGTTTCTGCTCTTCAGGTGTTGCAGACATCTTTGTATCCGTTGCTTCTCCGTCCACCTGACCACTAACGCGCCTAAGAGGTCTCTCCAGTCATACTCGTTTGGAAGTTGCAAATTTCCTTTCCTTCTCAGCAAAAGCGGAACCAGTTCCAACGGTGATTCTCGAAACATAAGTCCGCATCTATGCAAAGCTGATTTCACCCATTGACTTTCTTTCGGTATCAAAATTTTCATCAGGGCTTTTTCTGTTCCAAGTACCCTTTTACGCGCATCTTTTAACTTCCTTTCAAGCGTGCCTTCATCTAGCGTGCCGGGTACAGTTTGTTCACTATTCATTTTTCCGTCTTTGAAAACCTTCCAACTTTCTTCTAAGCGATTTTTGAAATGTTGACTAATGGCATCTGAAGCCTCGATCCCTCTAATCAACAAATCAACACTGTTTTCGACTTCATTTTCAAAATTTGCATCGACAGCAGTGTTATGATTTCTTTGTACGAAGGGCGAAACAAGCTCATCGAAACTGTTGGGAACATAATCCAAATCAAACTTTTGATCAAGATTGATGCGTTTTGCAAATTTCACCTTCTGAACAAAACTAGCTCGAAACTCAGGAATTTCCACTGAGCTTGTTTTGTTCAAACTATTGTTAACAATAGAATCTAGAGTAGTGTCCACTTTTTTCAGAAATTCGAGCAATTTTTTGTTTTTATATAGCTTGTAAAACAATTCTGAAAGTTTTTCGATCGCCGATTGTTTCTTCAGAAGTTCATAATTTCCAGAAAAATGACATTTATCACCGGGCCAGGCATTCATTGCCAGTTGAGTTACTTGGTTTTCTTCTTCAGTTTTCGTTTCATCGAAATAGTCTCTCGCCTCTTGCTTCTCTGTGTGGTATCTTCTGTTTTTGGACTTTCTATCACGACGGCTGCATTTTTCAGAAAGCCATTTATTGATAAACGCACCTTTATTTGTAAAACAGTTATTAACAATAGTTTCAACCTCGCTTCTCTTGATTCTATAGCGGGGTAGGTCGTGGTAGTGCGAATAATCAGGAGGATCAAGCGCCTGAAACTTCTCAAAGTGTTCTGAGATCAAGAAAAATGGCACCAAGTACTCAATGTCGATCATTTTTTTGTATGTTAGAAAAGAGGCCATTATAAACAATAGGTATCTGGTTTGATCACCTTGGCGGGCTAGTTCATAGAGGTCAAGCAAGCACTCTTTCTTAACCTCCAGTTCTTCCCAGACACTTAAAGATCTGTTGTTCATCAAATATTGTTCTGTTTTGAGGCAGTCTATACTTTTTAAGCTCGTGGCCCATTTTCTTAGCGAGTATCTGTAATCATATAAGGGCTCTGGATTTCGAGTGCGCAATATCGAAGCTATGGTTCGAACTTTGGCAATAACTGTTTTGTCTTCAAGAATGATTTTCGTGTTATGCAAACAGCGAGATGAATCTGGAACATCGACTAATGAATTCTTCAAATTCAGTGGATAAACTTTGTCCTGGATATTTTGGATTGCTCTTTTTTCAAGAACAGGTGAATTTTGACAATTTCCCTGAAAAGTTGGCTGTATTTGGTTTGATTTTACTTGATCATCATACATGTACAAGAGTTTGTTACTGTGAACCCGTAAGTTTACACATTGCTTCCTTAACGTCTCCAAAGTACAAAGAGAATATGGTGGAATTTGAGGGTACTGTTCAATTTCGGCATACGGACCATGTTTTTTGTTTGTGAAAAAATCTCTTGTGCAACAACATGTTTCTAGAATAGTCAAGATTTGTTCCGATCTCGTACCGAGTGGCGTGCATGAATAACTTCGACCCTTGTTCAGAATTTGCATCCCCATTTCGAAACCTGTCAGTTTTGTAAAGGGATCAGGCAGAGGGTAAGATGTTTTCACATGAAACATGGCAAGGTAAAGATTCGCGACATCGCTAGATGGCGGCGAAAGTTGTTTGAAGTTTTCGTCCACGCTGTAAGCAAAAAAAGATGGGTCACGGAACGAATTCTTGTTCACTTCAATTTGAACATGATTGGAAGAGAGTGATTCAGTGATTTCGCCATGGGGGATTATCACTTTCTTGTCTGTTCCGGACTCAAGAACAATGCCGCTCGCAAAGCCTATTAAAGTCCCCAGATAGCCAGATTTGGCTAACTTGAAGCCAGGATACTGAAATGCATTAATCTGAGAATAGTTTTCGGAGATCGAAAACGAAATGCGGTGCCTCGGGAGTGAAATGGACAATGTGTTTTTCTCAGGGCGCAGAAATACGTGCACGTGATCAGGTTTTTCAACTCTGTCAAAAACCAAACTTTGCAGTTTCAGGAAAATTTGGCTTCCCATGCTAATCAGTAGAGATTTATCGTCGGTGTTAATCAACTCCCATGAATGCGTTTTATTTACAATTTGATATGCGCAGAGTTTATTTTCGAAAATATTCCGACTCCAAAACTGTACAGATTTTGACTCAATTTCTTGATTTTCTTCATTGTATTCCAACCAGTGGCCAAATTGCCTCAACTCATAGGGCAAATGATGCTGCAGAAGGCTTTCGGGTAGATAAAACAGCCTTTTGGAGCAATTCTCTTTGGTCACCAGGAGTGTTTTAGAGTCGACCATCAGGAACTCGTAGGAAGCTTTATTGATCTTATTTATAGTCACAAAACTACCTGGGAGGGCACCAGGACCTACGGTCAAGTTCGCACATCCAAAAATGCGTTGGTAACATGAGTGTGAAGTTATGTTTGCTGGGAGACGCCTAACAGGATCGCTATTCATGAGAAAGGCTCCTGTTAGAATGTTTAAGCACAGGTTGTCTCCGTGATTCAGATCTTTTTTCATCCAAGGATCCGCGTGAGGAACTGACACCCAACTTGTTTCAAAGCAACTTTGCGTTCTCAGATTCATATGTTCGTATTGCCTAGATACGAACCCTTGAATCGTTTCTGAATCATTTTCAAGCAAAGATTTCAGCGTCTTTTCTACTCGAAGACCTGCAGACCAACTTTTTTGCACAAGGTTTCTGATAAAAGGCCATTTCATAGCTGTCGTGTTGTTCATGGTAAAGTTGTCAGAGACATTGTTTTGAGCTGTAATCCAACCTAAAGCGTGATCTGAACAATTGAGGATGGCTTCTACGTTATCAGCACTAACGTTAAATGTACTGACTACTATAAGACTGATTTGGACTAGTTTCAGTTGCAGCTCGCACTCGTCACGGCCGGCGACTTTGAGCGACTCTATCTTCTCTTTCACTTTGCTGCTCCAGGCCAAACCAATTCGTCGACAGCGAAACAGAAATGAACAAATTCCAGATTTATTTTCCGAGAACTCAACCAAACGACAGCCAAATATAGCTAAACATAGAAGGGATAAACTTTTATCCCAGTTGTCCTGGATAGCATCTAGTTGAACTTCAAGAACCTTCAAGGCATCAAAAACAAACTCTTCGTCTAAAAGATCTCGATGTTGATTCCGAGTTCTTTTCTCTTGATCATCTTCTGAACAGTCACGTGGATTATTCAGTTCATTTTTTGATTCATTCATGTTTCCAAATTTCTTCTCATCGTCCAAAATATGACCTCCAGTTTCCCAAAGAATCTGACAAACAAGCGACACCACATCTTCGCGATGCCAAGAGAGAGCGTTACTTTTTAAAGCTGCAATGAGGTTCCGAATTTGAAGTCGGCTACCCGCCCGACAGCAGCCGAAAACACGAAACTCCTTGAGGGAGAGCTCGGCCGGACACTCGCTCTGCCTGCAAATTACTTCATTATCACTGTGCAAATTGCCGTCAATTGTCCATTGAAGGCACTTGTATATACCATTTGCAACCATTGTGCACTTTTTGCGAAGATCTTTTAAGAACGACTGGTTCTTTCTGTAGTCGGTAAAAGTGTTTTTACCCGATGTCGGAGTAATATTGTTAATATCGTGCGAGCTACTTAATTCTGTACAAACACAGCCCAATAGTAAATCGTTAGTGCTTTCAATAATAAACTTTTCCCCTAATGGCGAACTCTTTGGATGCATGGGATGTGGGTTGAAGCTAAATTCACCTGAGCTCATCAATGTGATCTGGTCAGACAAAGAGACAGGATAATTTGGATTTTTAAACGTTTGGAGATCTCTGAGTTCAGACCAAACATCTCGCTTTCCATGAGCCTTATCCACGATCCAGAACTTCAGAACTTCTGTTTTGAAGAACTGAACTGCTGATCGCAAAACACGAACTTCGTTCGGACAATTGAAATCAAAGACAATTGCACGTTGGCCTTCAACTTTGGACGGAAAAGGTACACGGTACACAGAAACACTGATATCTGATGCCTCTTTGAGTAAGGCGCATTTTTTGCAACTATCACTGTCTTCTTCACTACCTTCTTCACTGTCTTCTTCATTATTTTTTTTGACTTGATTGCAATCACACGTTTTACGTTCAGCCTGTTCTTTCAATTCAAGATAATGGGCATATTTTTCTTGCACCTCCTGTTTTTTGCTTTGTTTTGCGGCTTCAACCATTTCGAGAATTCTTAGGCGCTCTTTTTCCATATCTTCATTTGAATAAGCGTAGCGCACATCTAGAGAATTTGGGTCGGTCGGGTCACCCATCAGCTCAACAGGGCTTTGACTTTTGAATCTCGAAGCCAAGTAGCTCTCAAGTTGACGCAACTGATCAAGTTGTTCTTGGAAAGGTAGCAGCAAATGATCCATAATCGACACATCCATATCCAGGCCGTGATCTAGAATCATTGGATGTATGTGGACCGCTTTTTTGTCTAGAATCACGAGGAACGAATAGCAAGTGAGCAGCATCACACTGTACATTTCAGGATTTCCTTCGTACATTTTAGACGCCACCTTGAAATAAGCTTTGAAACAAGCGAATGTTTCGTTCATCGATGATGAGATGTGTTCAGCAACGTTTTGGCAATGAGTCTTTGCCCATAGTTCGTTATCAAAAAGAGCCTGAACTGTGGCGAAGTCCAGAAAATTCATTTCTGAAGTCAGACCAGTGGCTACTATTTTTAAAGTGTTATTTGGATTTCGGGTTATCTTTTGATCCAATGTGACTGTGTTCAACGGTCGCCCCATCTGTCCCTGCAAAACCACAAAGAAATCTTGATCTTGATTTGTCAAGAATATGTTTTTTTAGAATAGCAGGTTGTGAGATCAAAATTATCGAACTCGAACGTCAGTTTGAAATACGATTTTTTCCAGTATCACAAATAAAACTAAGAACAAAAATTGATGAGATTTTCAGTGTTTCGAGCAGTCTACCGTAGACCTTAATTTGGTAAATTAAAAGTCACAAATGTATGCAACAAGGCCAAGATATTTAACCAATAAGTTTTTGGAATAAATGGTCATTGTTGAAAATATAAGCTCAAGTACACTCTCTGAAAATTTTGTAGGAAAACTGTCTATTTTTTGAATTTGATCAAATCTGTTCAAATTCTCTCATACCACTATCAGCAAATGTTTTTTTGGCCATCTTTCTCCATTTTATTTTTAACGAATTGCTTGAAAATATTTACATCAAAAAACCTAACGTTGGGTTTGGTTAACTCGATGTTACCTTTCAAAACCAATTAAACACAAAAAAATCTGCTGGTTTCTGTGCAACTAGAACAGAAAGTTCTAACCATATTCATAAAAAATTTATTAAAAAAATTGTTGGGTCATTTTTTGTAAAATGTGGGATACAAGATTAAGACGAAAGCCTAACAATTAGGTAATTTCAGCCGACTACAGTTGTATTCAAAAAATGAATAAAATGGAAAAAATTCAAGTTCAAATATCAAGAAATGTTTTCCAATTTTTTGAAAAAGTTTTCAATTTTTTTTTTGCCAAAAAAGCGCTAAATGACGCTTCGAAAACCGGTTTTACCGAACTAAAACTAAGTTTTCACAAATAAGAAGTAGCTTTTTCTATTGTATTACCTACTCGCTTGCTTTTCTTGTTCAAGCTTAAACTTAAATCCAAAATTTGTAAACCAGTTTTTCTCGACGCTGAGAGACTTTTTTTTAAACTTTTTTAAGTTGCCCGAGTTTGAGCTAGAAAAATTTTTGTTTGATGTATCATTTGACTCCTTCTGATGAATAATATATCCAGTTAATGGGCAGTTAGCAAAATATGGCGGCTACTGTTATTGTTGCGAAAAAAAACTTAAGATGATTTTAAAAAAAAATTTCATATCCGTTTCTTTTTTTCCTGTTGTATGGGACCTTAGTAGCTGTTGCAAGTAGTTTTCAGGAATCAAGTTACAACCGCTAAAAAGATCATGAAACAAATAGATCATAATATTGGAATAGGCTCACTCCTCCATGAGCAACACTCCTTCAATAAATATTTGAAATTGTTTCTAATGAGAGGGGCGGATCTAGGATTTTCTTATGGGGGCTTTTATGGTCAAAATTTTTCAAAAAAGTTGTCGGCGATTTTTTAAAAATCGATTCAATTGTTTTTCCAGGTTCTCCCAAATCACTAAAATGACCATATGTGTGCGCCGTAGGCAACTATTTTAAAAGGAACATGCAAAAAATGTTTTTAGTCATTTTTTGAAGAGTTTCGATTAAAAACTCTGGCGTATAGTAGATAACTAGCGTATATTCGATTATAATCTAGCGTAAGCTAGCAAATATTGTAGACCGTTTTTCTCGAAACTTGCTGTACGTTTTTGAAATATTTTTATTTTTCGATTCCGAAACACAACTCGAAGATGTTAAAATATAAAATGTTTTTGCTTTGTGAGAATTTGATAAGCGTCGCATATTGTGCTAGAAGTTACATCCCAGCATTGAGGTTTCAAAGATAATTATCGATTATAATGCTTGTGCATTTTCTGTCTAACCAACCAAAGTAGAAACCAACATAACCCATTATAATCCATTGGCAATCTTTAAACCCCCGTCATTTCGCAAAAAATAATCACAGGTAAAATATCTTTTCAAAATTAAGCTCAGGACAACAATACCTTTTGAATGATATTTTTAAAATTCCGTCACAAATGGCTAGTTAAAAAGTCGAAATTTGTCTGAATAAAAAAAAACCCACCCGAGCGCAAATATTCCGTTACTTTCGTTACGAAAGTCGGAACAATAAGTAGAATCTATTATAATGGATTTTAGATAAGTTGTGATTGATTTATCGTCTTTGAAAATTAAGGTATATAATTGGTTGCCTTGGTCGGAAAATGTAATTATAATCTATTATATTGGCAAAATTTTGAATAAGAAAATCGATAATAATCAATTATTATTCATGAAACTTCAGTGTGGGCCCTACATCATAATTACATTCAACTGCTTTTGGTTTTCGTAGAATAAAAATTAACTATCCGAGGAACTAAAATCTGCCGATTACACGATCTGATTATCTCACAATGAACGTCATACCAATATGCTAAGTGCCTCTTTAGTTTCAACGCTTTTATTTTTTCTTCCGACTTTCGATACGAAATTAACGGACTATTTGTGCTCGGGGTGGGTTTTTTTTTTCTTCAGGCAAATTTCGATTTCTTAACTAGCCTTTTTTGACAGGTTTTTTTATCATTCAAAAGGCTTTGTTGTCCTGAGCTTAATTTTCAAAAGATATTTCACCTGTGATCTTTTTTGATAAAGTTATGGGGTTTAAAGATTGCCATGTTGGCCAATTGGGGACAATTAACGCGCGATATATTTCCTGCTATTAACGCGTAAACGGAGATTTAATCCGTCTTAGAAATCGTTATAAATTGGTTGAAATAAGCCTATTTGCCATAATCGATTTGTTACAATGAGCGAAATCTATTCTTTTGTATTTTTTATGGCGTTTGGGGGGATGATTTCATCAAAAAAAAAACATCAAATTTTAAATAAAAAAAAACATTTTATTTTATAACATTTAGTTTTTTTTATGTTACTACTGCTCCATAAACCTTAAAAGGCAGTAAGAACATTCAGGGCTTCGCCCTGATATGAGCAGTCTTGTCCGACTTTCGTAACGAAAGTAACAGAATATTTGTGTTTGGGATGGGTTTTTTTTTCTTCAGACAAATTACGAACTTTTAACTAGCCATTTTTGACGGAATTTTTTTTTATCATTCGAAAAGTATTGTTGTCCTGAGCTTAAAATTGACAAGATATTTCACCTGTGATCACTTTTTGTAGAGTTATTGGGGTTTAAAGATTGTCATTTTGGCCAATTAGGGACAATTAACTCGCGATCTATTTCGCGCTATTAACGCGTAAGCGGAGATTTAATCAGTCCTAGAAATTGTTCCAAATTGGTTGAACGAAGCTTATTTTCCATAATTGATGTGTTACTAGGTGCGAACTCTATCACTTTGTACTTTAAATGGCGTGCGGGGGATGATTTTTGCAAAAATCTTATATTAAAAAATATTTTATTTTATTTTACCTTTAATTTTTCATGTTATTACAATTCCATAGACCTTAAAAGGTAGTCGGAACATTCAGGGCCTCGCCTTGATTCGAGCAGTCTTGTTAAATTCGTATCCGATGACCTGTTTAAATAATTGATGTGCCAATGTGCCAGTTTAAATAATTGAGTTTGAAAATGACCAATTTAGCACAAACTTTTTGCTGAAAAATAATTTAATTTGTTCTTTTAATGCGTAGCGTCGGAAGCGAGTTAAATTAATCCATGTTGCGAGCAGTTTCGCAATTCATATTCACTTGAATCCTTTCTAGAATTTCATAACTTGGTTTGTAATTTTTTGTGCTTCCGTTTTCTTCCAACTGACCCTGCTATTTTTTTAAGGAGGAAATTTCATGTGTTTTATTTGTGAGGGGAGAGCTAGCCCAAAACCGATATTTTTAGGTCGATCGACATGCAATACTAGCCTGTTTTGTATGAAGAGTGGTTTTTATAGTTTGGATGAAGTTCTCGATTTCAGGCAATTTCAAGCGTGTCTGAGTTTTCACTTCTTGTGGGGTGAGCTCAGCCAGATACTTGTAAATGGCTTCATTGTCCTTGCTCTCGCGATCCGTCTTTTGAATTTCCTCCCACTGGGAGTCTAGTTTGAGTCGAATTTTCGTTACAATTGATGCTCCTATAAAGTTCAGATAGAGATCATGAAATGGACAAAAAATTATTATGTGGCCCATATTAAAAATTGGATATTCTCAGATTTTAACTAAAATCAAAGCTAAAATAAGATGTATACAGAGCTGATTTAAAATAACCGGTCAAACCTAAAAACATTGACAATTATGAACGTGTTTTTCTCAAATTGGGTTTGAATTAGACAATAAATAAAGAAAACAAAAGTTGCTTATCAGTTTACCAGAGTTAACAAGTTAGAATTTGGTTTTCGAAAATTCAAAATTAGGTCATTTGCCCCAAAAATAGGTCATTTTGGCTTTTTTAGTA